AATATAAAGAACATAAAAAAGCTAAAATATACTAAATATTTTGGTAAATATAAAAACAATTTTGTTAATAACTATAATATATATTATTTTTTCTGTTTTTTTTTTTAATAAATAATTATATAAATTAGAAATTAAAATATAAATTTTATTATTATTATTGAGAAGATTATTATGCATCTCTTTATGTAAAAACTTTAGTTATTAATTTTCTAATAAATTGAAATTGAAATTAATAAATGAATAATAATTGTATATAATTTATTATTAAACTCTTTTGATATACTCAAAGTTTTACATACATTAAAAAGGATTTTTATTGATTTTATATATAATATAATATTAAATTTTTCTATTGTAAATTATTAGATTTGTAACTTAATCATATTTCTCCAAAGATAATTCTAAAATGATCTTTAAAATTATTATAAATTATATAAAAATGTCTTAATTAGTAAATTTATTTATCCTATAAAGTAAAGTAAAATAAAACTAACAAATATATTATTATTACATATCATCTATATCATTAATCAAATGATAAATATCTTCTGCAAATTAATAATAATATATAATGGTATTTTTAGTTATCTTTTAAATTAATTTTCTAATACTTAAAGTTAAAATAAATATATTATTATTTTTAACATATTTATGTTTATTAAAAAATTGTGATTAATATATAATTTAATTATATATTATATTAGTTATATATTATTATAATATACTAAAAGTTCTATCAAATAAAGTAATTTAATTAAAATAGATTTTAAGGTAGATTAATAAAAATATTTATAATAAATTTCTTGAATATAAAGGTAAAAGTGAATCAGAAGTATTGCTTTATTTTTTTATCACTGCTCTAAAAATTTTAATCTAAAATTACATTATCTTAGAATAGCAAGTAAATAGTGAAAAAATTAGTATTAAATATTATAAGTATTAAAAAAAATTCAAGCATTTCTTCTTTTAAAATATCTGCTATTTTTAACATTATTTATATTTAATCTTAATTATTTAAAATGTATTGCTACCATTTATACTATAAAATATAAATAATCATTAGAAAAAATAATGCATAAGCTTTATTAAAATAAAAAAATTACAATATCAGTATATAACTATTATTGATATTATATTTACTATATTAAAAATTAAAAATTAGTAAATAGTATAATAAATATAATTATATTTATCTTAAAATATAAATGTTTTATATTTCTTTATTTTTTATATATTAAATAAGTAGAAGTTAAGTTTTTACTTCTTCTTACTAGGATTCATATTTTCATCATTATGATTTTTCTTTTTTTATTTAGCTTATATATATTTTTTATAAAAGTCATCTTTATCTTTATATAGTTATTTCATAATAATTTTTTTTAGCAATAATATTATCAATTCTAAGAAGATATTTTGCTATTTTTGTCAAAAAAAATATAATATAAAAAGTAAATACAAAATTAAAGTACTGTTTAAAATTATTATTCATAAGAACAAAGATATTATCATTTAAAACTGTATTATAAAATGACTAAGTTATAATAAAAATTGTTATATAATAATAATAAGAAAGAATTTCAAAAAGTTTTTCTTTAATAACAAAGCTATCAAGATTCTTAATGTGTTTATATTGTATTTCTTTATAAGTATATTTAACTGAATAAAATTATATTTAGCTTAGTAAATATTTAAGAACTTACTTTTAGTTAGATCTATTTTATTTTTTATCTCTTTTTATAATTTTGAATGAATCTCTTATTTAATAAACATATCATTAATAATCATATCATTACTTTTTTATCATAAAATAGGTATTTTAGAATTTTATCTGTTAATTTTAAATATGAAAATTGCTTATTTATTATGTAGACAAAAAGTTCATTTAATATAATATTAAGATTTTTAGTTGATTCAACTCTATAGACATTATAATATAAATTTCTTAGATTTATCATATTCTTTTCATATTTTATTAGCAGATTTATTTGTAGTTTATTATAAAAAACTCCTATATATAGTATTTTGTATTTGAAATAACTCTTAAAGACTAATATAAAATATAAAAAAATAAATATAATTAATAATATTTAAAATTAATTTATAATAAAATTACAAATTAATTATATTATAATTAATATTCTGTAAAATTAAATCAGATTTTATCTAAATCTAATCTAATCAGATTTTTATTTTTATAGATCTAATTTAAATTTAATAGATCAGTTAAATCTGATTTAGATCTAATTTTAAAAAAAACTAAGTTTTTTTTCTTTAAAAAGAAATAAAGTTTTAGTCATTCTAATTGAATATAATAATTTATTTAAGAAGAATAATAATGAATTATTTAAGAATAATGATATATTATTATTCTAATTAAATGATAATAAATCATTTAATTAAAATAATAGTGAATAATTAATTTAGATTTAATAATCAAATCTTAAAATCTAACAAATTGATCTAAACCTGAATCTGAATTTAACAAATTTGACCTGATTTATATTTAAATTTGAATCTAATTTAAATTTAATAAATCCGATCTAAATTTAATTGAATTAGATTTAGATTGATTTATATTTGTATAGAATACTAATTATAATAATTATAAATATTAAATTTAAAATTATAATATATATAATATTATAATTTTAATTTATATATAAATATATTATTTTAAATAACATTTAATAATTACTGTATATAATTTTTTAAAATTAATTTTATAATATATATAATATTTAAAGGATTTTATTTATATTAAAATAAGAAATAAAATCTTTTATAATAGTTAAAATTATAAAACTATATTAAAATTATAATTAAAATTATAATAAAATTTTTTAATACAATAAAAGCTAAACTGATATAATTATATTATCTTTAGAAAATATCTGATTAAATTTTTTTAAATTTCTTAAAATTAGATATATTAATTAAATAAACTTTCTGATTTTAATAATGATATATTTATGTTTAATTTTATGTAATATTGCATAAATTAGTTTAATAAAAAAATACAAATACATAAAATAATTGCAATTTCATTTTTATAAAAAATACATATTCAACATAAGAAAAAATTACAAATTAAATGATTTTAAACATGAATAAATTATCAGTTTAATTTTAATAATAGATAAAACACTAATACTAAAAATCAAATTCTATAAATAAAAATGATTTTATATTTAAGCAAATTAATTAGTCATCTCTTAGTAAAATTTAACAAAATTTTCAGAATTTAAAAGATTGAAAAATTTTATAAGATACTATCCAGAAAAAGCTTAATTGTATAGAAATTTATTTATACATAAACCACTTTTTAAAGAATTATAATGCAAAATCAATTGAAATGATATATAAAAAATAAAATTGATTTGGTTTAAAAATGAAAAACAGTGATTTAGAATAACAAATCAAAATTTAAACTTTTTAAATGTTAGATTTAGTCATATTAGTGAGAGAATATTATCAGTATAATATTAAAATTTTGATTCTTTTAATAAAACATGATAGTAGTAATATTATAGTATAAGAATGCTTTGAAGAAATTGAATAAATTAGATTATATTAGTATTTTAAAAAATAATTTATTGCTGTTTATTTGATTCAAACATTTTAGAATAACAACATTTCAGTTTATACAATGAAGGTCATCAAAGATTGGATCATTTAAAATAAATTAAAATTCTTTCTGATTGGCCTTCTCAATCATTAGATCTTAATCCAATCGAATATTTTTAATATGAACTTAAACAAAGATGTAGTAAGAGTTCAGTACATCCAAAAAACTTAAAGATATTTTACAAGAAAAAAGCAAAATATTTCATTCAAATCTATATTAAATTTATAAAAAATTTCAATAGAAAAGGGCCCGAAAATCAGTTAAATTGCAATTTTACCCCCTTATTACATTTTAAATAACTAGGAAACGGGGACCGTTGTAAAGTACAGAGCGATTTTACTGCCTTTTGCAAAAAAATTGATATCTGCTAAGAATGCGATTTATTGTTGAAAGTGAAACACAACACAATCGAACTGAAATTTTAACTCGTTTCAAAGATTAATTTTAGTACAATCACGTATCAAAATACGATATATAGTATACTTGTTTGGTAATAGTTGTGTTGTGATGATAATATGACCCTATCATTTAGGGGAGGACCAGAAATTGCGTCATTTTGATTTTAGGGATTTTTGACCCCCTTCTGTCATCATTTTTATTACTTCTAAATAAGGAAATCATATAGTAATGTCACCCAGATGGACACCTTCCCCCTTACGAGAATCGGTTGACAAAACTATGATGTTTCCGATATTTATGGTATGTGAAGTGGAACTCCTAGTTGAAGATTAGAAATTTTTTTGATCAATAATTCAAGACGGAAAAAGATTGTTATGTTATTTGTAAATTTTGATGGGCCCATATATTGAAACTTGTTTTAAATTAAAAAAAATTTGATTTCATTTAATTCGGAATCGAAACAATAATTAAATTTACTAAGGCTTGTCCTAAAACGAATAATAAAAATAAAAGATAGTATTTATACTGTATCTAATTTAATAAACCAATAAAGAATATTATATCAATTCATGTGCCGATCAAAATTTCTTTATAAAATGGCGTCTCATTTCTCTTCATTACTTTCAACCTAAATCCTCAACCGCACTATAAATTTGCTTAAATTTTGCAATCACAAAAATTGTAAAGATTCTACGAAATCTAGTTTATTACTGTAGTATTTTTCATAGACTTTTGTGCAATTGCAAACATCTTTGACAAAAAATCAGTTATATACTAGGGAGCACAAGTGTAACGAAAGGACCAATCACGTATCGACTCAATTTCGAGCGGGGAAAAACAGCATAGAATTATATCTACGCTCCGGACTAATTACATAAGTTAAAGATCGACAACAATCGGCGCGGGTTTATTTTTGCATCACATTTTTATTTATATTTTACTTACTTTTTATAATCCTAAGCTTTTTGTTGTTAAAATGCTACATGAAAATAAATCTCGCATTGGCAGTAGCGTTATTCATAATTATACGTGGATTATTCGCGAATTTACCAAGATAAAGGCTCTTGCACCAAAACCACAATGCTTTCATAGTCCACAATGGACATGTAAAATTTGTATCTTTGACGATAACGGTTGTTCATATACTCCTTTAAATTGGAGATTAAAAGTTCACCCCAACGGGAACAGTGAAAGTTCTCATAATAGCATCAGTTGCTATTTAGAAGCAATATTTCCTAGTGGCGCAGATTCTTCTTCACGCGCTAATGTAAATTTTTATATTGGATTTTATATTCCGGTACAGCAGGGTGAAAAGAAAGTATTTAAACTTGTAAAACGTCGTAGGTAAGTTTCAATATAGATTCTTTCATTTATAGTTCTTAAATTATATTTTTATCCTTTTATATAATATTTTCAAAGCGAACGACATGATTTCTTAAAAGTGAAGCCTACTTGGGGTTGGCCAAACTTCTGCTCAAAAGCCGTGTTAAATAATGAAGCGGCAAATAATGTGAATAATTCAGAAGAGACAAAAATGCTATTGCCATTAGAGCTTCAAAAGAGTGGAAATTTAGTGGAGGATGATACGCTTGTTATCCATGTAGTAATAATTACAACGAATCCCGTTGGTATACTTGATAGTTTGGAAGATTCATTTTCAAAGTTATCGCTGAGTTCGCAACCTAATATGGTGACATTCCCACAAACTTTGGACCAACCGGATTTCAGTGATATCAAATTCTTGATTGAGGGAAAAATCATCAATGCTCATCAAGTTATATTGGCCGAAAGATCTCATTATTTCAAAACTTTAATTAAAAATGACTGGATGCTTGAGATTAAAAATTCGATCCCTGTTAAAATACATGATGTAGATTACAACACTTTTTATAATATTCTTCATTATTTGTATACGGGTTCTTTAGCCGAAATCGAAGGATCAGATTTTGTGAAAATTTCCCAACTTCAAAAAATTTTTATCGATGCAGATATGCGCAAAACAATAGAGGTAGATGCGTTATATGATCTTGTTGACATTTTAATTTCTGAATTAATTTGTTTAATAAACATGAACACTTGGGATCATTTGCTTGCATTTGGATGGGAGCGAGATATTGTGAAGTTAAGAAAAGCGGTTTATAGATTCGCGAAAAAGAATTGGGATCAAATTCGCGAAAGTGAACCTTTAAAAAATATTTTAAGGGATGCAAATGTTGATGTTACGGAAGAATTGTTTATATCTATCAATTCATAATATTGGTATTATTATTTTTTTTTTTTTTTAAAAAAAACATGTTGATAATTACTTGGAATATTATTTAATTAGAAATAAAATATTTAATTTGTGAATAAAATTTTATTCATAAGTTTATTTATGGTAGAGAACTTTCAATTTGTACTCCAAGTTCTTTAAAAAAAATCATCCAGGTTTGAATAAACATATTCTTGAAAATGCAATCTGAAGCTTTATTATATTCATAATTTGTAAATTTTTTTTTAAATATTATCCACTCCTCTTTTAGAAAATCAACTAGCTTATCGGCTCTTCTTTTATCAAACACATTTATTAGTATATTCCATTGTTTATGTAATTTTTCCATCAATTCATAATCAATTTTGCTATCATTTTCGTGAACATGGATTTGCCTGTAAAACATTTTGGGCTCAATCATTGACGATAGAGAATCATCAACCATTATTCTTTGTTCTTGTCGAGTACATTCCGTTAATTTGTTACGGTATTTCAAAAAGAAAGTTTCATCATGATATGAAATCTTTGCCAGCATCCAAGGATGTAATCTCCAAATTTGAGGCTCTAAAGCTGCAGAATCAACTTCTAGATAAGGTAATCTCGATTTTTCATCTATTACCGACAAAATATAATCCAGTAAAGGTTCATACATATCTGCCGGTATTAATGGTTCTTCCTCGTTCTTGTCAAGATAATTTTCACGAATCTCAAGCGTAATTATATAAGCATGAAAAAGGATTTCCTGAGGGGAAAATAATTTATTATTTTCTCTGATCAATAATCACAGTAGTAAATCCAAACTAAACCTAATTTCATACCAAATTTTGCGGTGATTTGTTAATATAATCTGAAAATTTTTTTATTATTAAATATTTATTGTATTGAAGTAATCCACCTTCAGTGATATATCTTGAACAATCTCTAATAAGTAATTTTGCAGCCGCGCGATATGAAATAGTTTTTGGTAGCAACTTAAAAGAGTATTCTTCTTTAAATGATGACACAATGTAATCTTTAGCATTTGTTGCACTTTTGAGACGAGATACGCCTTCTAAAAATGTCATCTGAACTCCTGTTAATACATCTGCAATCACTGCAGATTTACTTCCAATTATGACATCCTAATTTAAAAGGAAAAAATTTATTAAATTAAACGGATCCATCCTTTTTAAACTAGTTAATGTTAATTACCTTAACGAAGCTCTTTTTTTTGTCACTATCAAATAACGGATCATAAGTTTCTATAACGTAAGCAAGCACATCAAGACTTAGATAAGGATTTTTTAGTAATGTTCTATATAATAAACGTTGACAGTTACAAATCTCATCTATTGAAGGTATCGATTTCTCAAGATCAGCACAAGCTTCTGTTGTCATTTTTATTTTCTTGACAAGTTCACTAAAGAGATACTCTTTATATTTGGTATCATTCTCAAAATCAAATAAATAGAATTCTATTCCAGTTGCAAGTCTAATACAATATTGCACTTTTTCTTTGTTCCAAGTATTGACTGACATGGTTTTCGCTTCTGAAAATAATTTAACAAATTCAAAAATTTGATCATTAATTTCTATATCCATTCTAAAAATCCACTAAAAAAATTTCTTTGCAGAACGCGTTATGATTTTGCAAATCATTCTTAATTTTGTATTACCCAATAATAATTGGTTGGACAATTTGATAACGGTCGGTCAATCAATGGTCGGTCAAAGGCCTTTGACTGACAGACCGGTTTAACCGATTTTTAATCGCATGATTGAATTTAACATCATTAGAAAGTTGTTTATTTAGTCAAATATTATCCCTTCGTCTGTAACGCAGGCAAATTTTCCTGCATAAACATAGTAGCATGTGAAAGTCTACAGACGAAGGGATAATTTTTAATTCTCTGTTGGCATTTTTTAAATTTTTTTTATATAATAACTTATTTTTAGTGAAACAGCATTATCGTGAATTTTTAATAAAATTTTAATTATATATATACAAATACAAATAATTCTTTACTAATTAAATCATTCTGATGGATTGAATCGATCATTAATATATATTACTATATATAAAACAATCAATTAGTGTATGCATATAGTGAGTTCACTATACACAAACAGCCCCATCAAGCAAAGCTCGGAGAAAAATTCCCCGAGCACCATTAATATCCCTCCCTATCCATCACTATTCCACATTTATTACATTTAAACAATTTGTTGCCACCCAGGTTATATTTAATAAATCCACAACAACTGCATAAAGCAAAT